AACTCAACTAGGAATCAAATTCAAATGAAATTTCTCCTACGTCCAACTAAGGTCATGGTCAGGTTATGGTATTTGAATTTCAAAATATTGAATTCGTTTTGGGTAAGTTATAAGCTTCCCAAAGTGTCGCAGTTTTGGTGTGTTCACCCTTTAGTACCACAGCCACAAGCTATTTCGCTAGCTACATCAGCAATAATACACCACAACCACAGCTACATATTGTGGGCAGATTACAGCATTTACCATTCTGGTTAGCCAGTTAAATAAAGCCAAGCTGTCTTGAATATCTTAAAAGTAAAACGGGGACCTCCGACTAGCATTTACCATTCTGGTTAGCCAGTTAAATAAAGCCAAGCTGTCTTGAATATCTTAAAAGTAAAATGGGGACCTCCGACTAGCATTTACCATTCTGGTTAGCCAGTTAAATAAAGCCAAGCTGTCTTGAATATCTTAAAAGTAAAATGGGGACCTCCGACTAGCATTTACCATTCTGGTTAGCCAGTTAAATAAAGCCAAGCTGTCTTGAATATCTTAAAAGTAAAATGGGGACCTCCGACTAGCATTTACCATTCTGGTTAGCCAGTTAAATAAAGCCAAGCTGTCTTGAATATCTTAAAAGTAAAACAACCGCTTCCCCCCGTGATGACACCGACTCATAATCATTTTCTTCCTCTTCTTTCTCTTCTTCCTCATCGTTCAGTAACCCATACTGTCTGAGAAGTCTTTCCCTCAGATCCTTCTTCCGTCCGTCCAGTGGTAAATCTAACTCCCCAAGTTTTGTCTTTAATAACACTACAGTTATATTTAATATTTCTTGGGCATCCATTATGTAAATTTTTATCAATATTCAATTTAAAATATGTATAACTACTTCTAAAATATAATTTTTAACTCAAAATTATTGTAGAATATAATTACATATATTCAAGTTTTAAATTTTTCTTTCAAAATAATTTCTACTTTTTTACAGATTTTAAATTAATAGCCAGAAGTTGTTTATGAAAACTCGAACGAAATTTGTACACGGATATAAACGCAATCTGCTTTTAATCTTGATAAATTAATTGTTTTTAATTTCACAAATTCTTAGATATATTATTCGCTTTTTGCAACTATCTTTAGTAGTTTGAATATTTAAATGCAATATACTTTACTATTTACTATTGAACATACAACAAAATACGTAAACAACCAAGCAAAGTTGATTTAACACAAATTTTCTCTGCATAACTTTCGATGACTTCTACTTCTTTTTGCCTTGCCACTGCGCTGCTTATCTATTGCTGCATTTACTGTACTGTTGCTTCTTCAATTTATATTTCAAAAGTTTTGTGAGTTCTACTTTGTTGTATTTCGATCTCTATTACTCTCGTTATGTACTATTCGTACTATTTCAAGAATGATAGAATACAAGATTGCGCCAATGATACAGGATTTTTGAGCGTAATTTTTGCGTGACGTCATCTTGGTGCAATCGCGAGAGAGAAATGCCAAAACGCATATAAAAATATGTAAACAATGCAGAAAAATGTGTTAATTTTAATATTACATGGCCCAATTTTGCAGGAATCAACAAATATACAAAGATTGATTAATTAGGAACACGTAGCAATAATTTTGGATATGTAGCCCTTTAGGTAAGTACGATTTTTAGCACATGAAAAAATGGATGTATTAACAGCGTTTGCAATTTCATGTAGACCAAAAGGAAGGTGTGCAGCAAAGTGAATTTTTGGACTCGCCATTGTAAAAAACCATGCAGAGTGCATACATATTTATATTTGTGGACGGTAGCCAACCACCATAAAATCCACAGCTGTTGACTCCACAGCTTTTATTTGATGACTTTTGTACCATTTCCGAGACGATGCATGAGTGTGGCTTCACACTTTCATCAGATATATTTGCATCAACAGTATCACTCGCAACGTCTATAAAAACTTAGCTACAGTATAATGCAAAACTTTATATAAATGCAAATTGTTACCTGCAGTGGCAACGGCAGTCTCACTCTGCTCAAGTAACTTGCTGTAAATGGTAGGCACCGCACCACGTTTTAAACGACGAAGTTTTGCAAAACCCAAGGCATTTACAAAAACCAATATTAAATGCAATTAGTATTAAAATACACAATATGTTACCATTTCGAACTGTATTATTTTCAATATCTTCACTAGTAAAGTGCTTCATGCATACATAGCTCGATTTGGTGTTTAATGCATCTCCTCGCCTGCAGAACTGTTTCCACTTTTTCGCCAGATTTCGCACGCTTTCCTTTTGTTTTCACTATTACACTTTGCGACGGCACACTTCCTTTTGCTTTGTAATGTCTCAATAATTGTTTAAAACCACGCAGAAATATTAACGCACCAATATTAAAATTTGTTATTAGGTTTTTTCGTATGCTCACAATCAAAAATTGCACCAAGATGACGTCACGCACACTGGTGATTCTGTCAAAATCACAAAGAGCGGATTAGCGGTACCGCGATTGGCGCAATCTCTATTTCTCTCAATCGTGGTACTATTTATCTTTATTCCGCTTTACAGGTCTATTCTGCACGTTACCGAAGATTTTGTGACCGGAAAATTGTATTACCAAAAAATTTTGTCACTTCTTGTCACCGCGATTCTAGGTACGTTGGTAATGCAGTGAAAATATTCAGCAGTTCAGCTATGGAGATTTGTGGAAATTCTTGTGCTGCATATTTCACGGGGCAAAATTTTGTTACCAGCTCATGAGATGGTAACCAAATTTACCGGTTACAAGAGCGCACAGAATGCGAAAAAGGTTTACAAATTGACAGACACTTTAATTACCGGTTACAAAATTTATGTTACCAGCGCAGAATAGACCTGTTAATGTGAAAACGACAGTTTTTAGCATCGTTATGTAAATACACACTGTACTGTTCTGTCCACCAACACTTGCTTACGCTTCACTTATGTACATATGTGTTTGTATCTTCTTATTGGAAACAAAACGACACTTTCAATGTTCTTAGCAACGTAGCTACACAAACCGACGCACAGTGAGACAGCCCAATAGTAACCGCGGCAAAAAATGGTTTTTGACGTGTCGTCCAATTTGGATGAAATTTTCACTGTATATTAACAGATATATGAGTAACAATTCCCTGAAATTTCAGCCTCATAACTTCATTACTTTTTGGTCTAGAGCAAGTCAAAGTTGAGGTATGCCAACGCGCTTGAAATATGTTAGTTCAATATGTAATAATCAAAAGCTTATTAAAATAAAAATACATAATAAATGTAACTTTAAAGTATTTTTTTAATTAATTTAGTTATTGTAGAATGAGTAAATGAAAAAATAAATTAAAAAAAAAAACAAAATTTTTTTTTTCTTAACAACAGAATTGTGGTGCAAAAATTGAACATTTTGCATTTTCAATGGCCTAGGAAATATAGAGCAGCCCCTCGCCCTAGGTGCAGACTTATACCAAATGAAAGTTTGAAGTCTCAGCTTTAATTTAAAGTAGAGGACATATAGCAAAAGTTTGCAAAAGCACATTAAACATACAAAAAACTACAAAAAGTACGTAACGCGCACATTCTGTCGCTATACGTATGTTAGCATGCAATAGCATGTTTACAACTTTTTACTTTTATTTTTTTTAATTGTTTACTATTCACTTATTGTGCAAGAGAATAGTAATAAATTACATTTGTTTTTTGTTAGTTATTCAGAATTATGCTTTAAAGATCATTTATGTTTTAATAAAAATATTCTTGTTTACATAAATTTTATTTACGTTATTAATTTGATAGATAATTTTGTTGAAGGTCATTGACTTTGGGTTAGATAGTTGCATAATTTTTAATTTAAATTGATAGTGCAAGATATTGTTCTTATCTAAGTTGTGTTATGATCACTTTCTAATGTTGTTAGTTTAATTGTTATATTGTAGTGCCGCTTGTCGCCTGGCAGGAAAATAGAGTATTTTAAAAGGTTCAATCGAAAATACAACCAAGCACTTCGCATTCCGTTAAGCGTGGACGACCTGTAAAAGATTTCGAAGAAAGCCAAGAAAGGTCTAAGAGAAGTAAAATATCTCAATTTTGTAAAAGTTTTCCAGAAGACTTAATAGTGTCTGCTGCTAAAAAATATGAAAAGAGTGAACAATTCAAATCATTTACACCAGAGAAAGCACTCAGCCTTATAATTGATGCTTCACTATCAAGACACCAATATGATGTTTTAAGAAGCTCTGCAAAAGAAATTGGTTGTGACATAAGTATACCCACACTACAGCAAAATATTGGAAGTTAAAAAAAAATGCTATCCTGCAAATATTAAGGTTGATGAAAGTTTTAGCAGTGTTGGATTACAAGAATTACTTGATCACACTGTTTCAAGAATTTTTCAAGCAAAAACAAAAAGTGAGATTGATAAGATTCCAAATGAGTTGAATTTAATAAGTAAATGGGGGTGTGATGGATCATCAGGGCACAGTGAATATCAACAACGTTTCACCGATGAAAATGTTTCTGATAAAAATATGTTTTTAACATCTCTTGTTCCGTTAAAGTTAACTGATCTTTACAATGATTTTTATTCGTTTTGGGAAAATTCAGTACCATCTTCAACAAGACTTTGCAGGCCTATTAAATTCGAATTTGTGAAAGAAACAGCAGATGTTATTAACAATGAAGTAAATCGTGTAAATGCAGAAATTCAAAATTTAAAAACGACAGAATTCGAAATGTTCAACAAAAAGTTTGCGATATCTCATAGTTTAACTATGACGATGATTGACGGAAAAGTGGCAACAACAGTCAGTAAGAATTGCTCGATGGCTGTTTGTTTCATATGTGGAGCAAAACCTACTGAAATGAATAATTTGGATGCAGTTATTTTGAGAACAAATTCAGCTGAAGCATTGAAATTTGGAATTTCGCCGCTACATGCTCGAATAAAATTCATGGAATGTATATTACATCTCGGTTATAATAAAAGTTTCAAAGCGTGGAGGACAAATAAAGATACAAAAGAACAGAAAGAAGCTGTTAAAACAGAAATGAAAAAAAATTTCAAATTAGTTCTGGGCTTAAAAGTCGATGTGGTGAAACAAGGCATGGGAACAACCAATGATGGTAATGTCTCTAGAAGATTTTTTGAACATCCAGAAATAACCGCTGACATAACTGGTGTAAATGTAGACTTAATTCACCGCTTTAAAATTATATTAAATACTATAAATAGTAGTAAAAATATAGATGTTGGTAAATTCCATACGTATTGCATGGACACTGCAAAATTATATGTAGAGCTTTATGGCTGGTACTACATGCCCATCACTGTGCATAAAGTTCTCATTCACGGCAGCAAAATGGTATCTGAGGCTATATTGCCAATAGGTTTGTTTGCAATTTTTATTTTTGAAAGTATTTTTTTAAACTTTATTTATTATTAACTTTTTTTTTTGCTACAGGAATGTTATCCGAAGAAGCGCAAGAAGCAATGAATAAGGAGTATAGAAACTGTAGGCTATTCCATTCTCGTAAAAATTCACGTATTTCTACGAATGAAGATGTAATGCACTATTTGCAAATATCATCAGATCCTTATATTAATTCATTTAGAATGAGAAACAAATTAAAAAAATTAGAATACCATGATGATGTTAAAAAATTATTGATTGAATGAAAAAAAAATATTGTTTTTTTTATTGCATTTCAATGGGAGGTGGGCGTATTAGTGGGCGTGTTATTGTAATTTTTGCATGAAACATTTTAAATGATATAAATTACAGTAATATCGAATTTGAAGGTTGTATTTAATATATTTTAGAAAATATGGCACTTTTTATGTTGAGGTAGTATGGGTGATGGGGTTAAAAGTGGGCCAAAGTTCAATTTTTATTTCAAATAATGTTTGTAACTATATAACATTCAAGTATACCAAAATTGAAAGTTATACCTAAAGTATTACGGACAATACGGCATTTTACAAATTTCGACTGTATGGCAGGTGGGCGTAAAAGTGGGCGAATTTTCTTATTTTTTTTTTTTAAAACTGGAATTGTCTCAAAAATAACCTGTGCAAAATTTCAGAGCTCTACAATGACTCCTTGTATTTAATGCCGGCGTTGTCTCACTGTGCGACGCCTTGTCTTTGCTCGCCACTGGCTATGTGTAAAAAACCACCCTTTCACCATCACAACCAGGGCTACCACTGAAAAACTTTCTTGCCTAACAAAATGGCTTCTCTCATACCATTTAAGAAAATGGCGTTTGACGGCAGTAAATACATTTCTTTTTTGCTGATTTTTATGCTTAAAATAAGATTTTCAGTTAAATAGATATTTAAGTACATATTATACATAGCATACACAAAAAAAGTGGTGTGTGCTTTTAGCCAAACCTACCTACAGTTATGTAATACGACCCGCTGAACCCGAATCTGAGATCCGTTTGACTTTACGCCCTCAAAATTTCGAAAACCTGAAAAAATCGCAACAAATTCGCATAGTTTATAGTTTTAATAAATCCTTCGGAGTAAATGACATGAAAAATCGTAGCAGAAAATAAAATAACTCATTTTCATATACATATTTATTATGACGTATATATATATACATAAATTAGTAAGGTAAAAATAAACCTCACGGTTAGGCTTGCCAAATGTCCGGGTCTAGGAGCGCCGGGGTGGGGGAAAAATATGCACGCTGCGGGTTTGCCATTAATGGAAATATGTATGACTAACAAAAAGTTGTTTTCTTTTTAATTTTCGTGTATGATAAAAAATAACATATTCTGTAACCACGTACCTTTGTTATGTAGTATGCATTTGAACGCTCTTCCATTTAGTGCCATTTAAAATATTTGAACAACCTTGTCATTGTTGAATTTATTATCGATTCGTTACTGCATTTCAAAGAAAAATATCTGATTTATAAACCTGCCTCTACGTCCGTCAATTCAATCACTTAATATCCTTTAGATACCCAGTGAGTACAACTTTTTACAGCGTATACTGTGTTTAGAGAATCGCCGAAGGTAATTGGAGAAATTCTGCCTATTCCAGTAAGCAACGAGTTTTTTAAGGTATTTGGAAAACAGTTGGACCCATCCATGCAATAGAATGAGGGTAATACTACGTTCAAATTGACGAGCTAAACGTGTTAAATGGGCTTGAA